GGCCGTGCTTCCATTAGGACAGGTACTGAGCGACTGGCTGGAGCACCTTTCACCTGGCGGTCCATCACCGCTGGTGCAGTCTGAATCTTCAGGAACAGGGTGGTTCCTATCGGGACGCCTTTCCCTGGACAAGCGAGTGGATAGTCGAGTGGCGCTGGCTGGCATGCGAGTGCTCGAGGGCACTTTCGGGCACCCATCCCCCACCACAGCCCGCTACCCACCCGACCCACCGTCAGCTGCGGCCGTGGGCGCCGCGGCAGCGCCTCCAGCGCCGCCTGCGAACCCTCTGCCTGCTCCTCTTCCGCCCTTGGCGAGGGCCACGCGCGCTGCCTGCCGAACGTCGGGTTCGGCGTCAGCCTTGGCGTTTGATTGGCCGGCAGCTCAGGGCCCCCCAGCAGCATCAGGAACTCTGGCAGAACCAGGAACATGTTTAGCAGGTGCACGTTCGCGCGCTCCTGCGGTGTCGTCGCCCTCCTGGGTCTTCCGCCTCTTACTGGACATCCGCTTGACGTGCTCCTCATGATCATTTCGCAGGTTGTTGGCGAATTTCTGCGCCGAGCCGAAGAGGACCTTGGCCAAGTCCTGGATGCCCTTGCACATTTCTCCCGCCTCCTTGCAGCTTGCTTACGATCCTCTTCCGTGACTGCGTACAGAGTTGGATCAACCAAGCTAAACAGCGTGCTGCACTCCCACAGGTCGAAGCAGTTGAGGTCGCCCTCCAGCAACTTGGATAGCGGGATCCAGCAGTTTCTTGTACTCGGTGTCTGCCTCCTCCAGCTTGTTTTGCTAGGCCAGGGCGTTCTGGAGCTGATCATGGTTGCCAATCTCTGCCTGCAGGCGCGCCTCCAAGCCCTGCACCTTATGTTGAGGTGCCTGGGCCTGGACTTGCAGGGGTGGCTCCTTCGGCGCCCCCGCCAGGCGTTTCTTGTACTCCAAGACGGCCCTGTACTTCTTCTCGTGGGCTTTGTCCCTTGCCTTCGCCGCAAGCTGGAGCATGCTGTCGATCTCCTCTTTGGACAGCGCGACCTCCTGGCTGGCGCCCCCAGATAGTGGCTGAGGTCAAGCTGCTCGCGGCGGAAGGCCTGGTGGGCAGTCGTGCTCCATGGGGAAGAGGTCCGCGCCCTGCGCCCCGTCATTCTCGGTCCACGCCTTCTTGCAGTGCTTGCAGTACCATTGCTTACACGGAGTCTTCTTGCAGCCGCAGTTTGGGCACTGCCACTTGTCGATGCATTTCCATGAGGGCTTCCTATGTTGCCCACTCTGCTCTGCTCCCACCTGTGCAACTCGGCCCTTGCCTGCGCCAGCCTGCCACGGGTGCCCCCTCGCCATTGCGGAAGCTGCAAGTGCTGCCGCGCGGGAATCGTGACAGTCAGGTAAACTCAACGACGACCTGACGCCGTGGGCCGAAAAATGGAATGAGATGTGGACGGCAGAGCGTTGCCTGGAAAGGAGCCCCCTAGAGCCCTTGCCTCGGACCAGAACGGCCTTGAGCCAATGGCTTGAGCCAAATGGCTACGACACTCCGCTCCTTCTCCTCCTCCTCGTCCCCCTCCTCCTCCTCCTCCTCCTCCTCCTCCTCCTCCTCCTCCTCCTCCTCCTCCTCCTCCTCCTCCTCCCCCTCCTCCCCCCCCTATTGCTGCCCTTGAGCAGGGGGCGGTGTCCGGGTGCTCGGGGGAGCGCGTCAGATTGGGTCAGATCGGGGGCCCACATCCCTTCAGGAGCACCCTGGCGACCCCAAGCGCGCCCCCCCATGTGCCTCCAGAAAAGTCCCCAGCCCCCTTTTCTTCAGAGGGCCCCCAGGTGTTCAGCTTCGCTCCAGGTTTCCGACATATGCCAGCTCTGGGCCCAACCGTCTCCACTTTCACCCCGCGTCCTTCCCGCCCCGCCCATCTTCACGTCTTCAGCTCCCCTTCCTCCTGGATGCCTGAATTCCTGATGGCAGAAATGTCGTACTGGCGTTGCCATCCGCCCCAGGGCCGGTCGGACCTGGGGGTTTGGTCAAACTAGTGAGCCAGGTTGGTGTTCCGCATGACATTGTGAAGAAGAGCTACAAAAAAGCAGCGTCAGCAGAAGAAGACGAAGCATAATAATAACGATCAATAACACGAGGGGAGCATCTTAGTAAGACTCGTAGTACTACTACTATGAATAATGCCACGAATAAGCACAATACTAAGACGAATAATAATAACCATAAGACGAGCACGAACATAAATAATAAGAACAAGCATGTGGACGCGAAAAGAGCTGGGTGCAGCGGCGCTGGTTTCCTCCCCCAACCCATGGTATCCAAGACCTCCCCTCAAGGTAGCGGCTGCAGCGCGCGCGGGGCGCCACGTTGAGCGTGGACTTACACCTACATGCGTTCCGAGCGGCCAGTAGTGAGCTGCGCACGTAAGACCGCGAGGTGAGGGAGCGGGGTTGGGGGGTGAGGGGTCCTTCGCTCGAAGACCTCCCAGGAGTTGCCTTTTAACCGGTGGAAGTTGAATAGGTTGAAGTAAGGTTCTCAAGAGGGCATTGGACGGCCCCGTCGCCGTTGGCAGGTCGGAGCCATGTCGCCTACAATTTACTGCGTGTCTGGCGGTAGGCCTGCCTCTTGAAGCGTTGGCAATCGCCCATGAGGATTTCAAGTCGAGGTGTGACTGGCGTCGACGTGTTCTGCAAAATATCAACAGAAGGCGGCGTTGGTGTGGAAAGCCGCGTGGCTGCGAGCTGCACCGTGGCCAAGTCTCGCCAATCAGGGGGCAGGGCGCAAAGGGCCTCTCCCCCTGCCCGTGGGGAGCCCCCCGTCCGGCCCACAGTCCCGCAGGTTGCCCGGAGGTGGGGCTGGTGGCTACATCGGGGGGGGGGGGGTCCCCCGGGCTTGGGGACACTTTGCGCCTCCCACGCGGCGGCCGTACAGTCGGCCCAGATTAGTCGGTAGACCTTGCCAGCTCAAGGGTCTTGGCATCGCTCGGACGTGTGCATTTTTTCTTCGGCGAGGACCATCTAGGAACATTCTTGAGCATTAGGCGAAAAAACCACGCACGAAACCGAAAGAAACAGAGAATGGACGTCCGAGCGATGGCCAGGGGTACCCATGTGTCCTGTGCCTCGCGACGCGTGCCTTCTTGCGCTCCTATGGCGATGTGGCCCTCGGAAGGGTCTTGTGTCCTCTCGCGTGTCCTGTCCAATCGAGGCCGACTGTATGAAGGCTGCCCCTTCCTTCTGCTCGTTCTCCTGCTCTCTTTCCTCCTGCTGGTCCTCCTGCTCTCCGTTCTGGTGCTCTTCTATTAAGCATGTGCCAGGCCCTTCCTCCAGACCTTTCGACTTTCCAAACCCCCAGACGCACCTTAGAGACCAGATAGCTCCAAATGCTCTCAACATCCCCCGAAGAGCTCCCTACCGATCCAAAATGCCCCCATGAGCCTTCAAAGGCCCCCAGCAGCCCGCTTGCTCCAAGAACGCCCCCCAGGTATTCACCTTCGCTCCAGGCTTCCTGCAGATGTCACTTTCTAATCCGGCTGACTCCAGTGTTTCCACGCGCATGCCCCGCCCCATCTAGTTTCACGCTTTCAACTCCTCTGTCCTCATGCTCCTCCTGTTCTCCGTCCCTGTGCTAGCTTCTCAACATGTTCGGCCATGCCTGGCCTTTTACCTTTCGTCTCTGCAACGCTGCGTGACCGTACTAACCCCTGCGCCTCCGACGCCACTCGTTCCAATTCGATTATTACCACATTCCCAATGCTTGTCATTCGCGCATTTGCCCAACAAACCGTGGCCAATGTAAAACACGCAACACTCAGGCATCCCCCCGCCCACCTCCTTCCCAACCCCTGGATCGTCACCATCAGCCTATGCTTCGCCATAAATTACAGCTTCATGAGAAGGCATCCTCTTCATGCCCCCTGAACGTGGCGCGCACATCGAACGCCTAACGCACGTTTGCACGCTTGCATGTCCCACTCGTTCAGGCGGGCCCCAGTGCCGAAGCTGACCTTCGCAGCCGCCCCTCCGCCACATTGGAACACCCCGCGTATTGCGCGCGCGAGGCACGCCTTGCGCGCATGATTTTCCCTCCCAACTCAAGCCTGCCAGACGCATCCGCCAGCACGCTACCCATTCCACTTCCCCCACCGCGCACCATGCCATGACTGCAAAGCGAAGCGCAGCAGGTTTCAGCTATTCATTGTGTATGTTTATATATACATATATACACATATATGCTTACATACATATGTATGTATGCCCCCCAAGTATGTATACAGCTATATATGTACTCGCACCTCTTATCTCCTCTTCCTCTTCACCTTGAATCCTCTTGAACGTGCGAGTTTACCTTGCGACTCACGGCGCTTAGGCACTGGATTCGGTTTGCGTGTCTCGGTCGCATGCGCAGGACAGCCTTGCTACGTTGCCGTGGCTACGCCCGCTTTAGGTTTTCTGCACTGGCCAAGGACTCGCGTGTTCGCTCGCATATTGCAGGTTGGCCCTCAGGTGATTCCAGATTTGCATAGTGCATGTGGTCGGGTACCGTTGTTGTGTTTGTAGTGAGAAAATAGATGCACACTCGCGCAGGCATGTATGTTGTATCCACTGCTAGGATGTCCGGACTCATTTTCCGCGACCCCATGGATCGAGGAAGGCCTTTCGCGCGGACGCCCCGCGCGGAGCGTATCCATGGAATCGCGTGGCCATGGGGTCGCGCCTCGGTCTCCAGATCACAAATGCATGGATATGGACTTGTTCGTCGGTCGTGAGGTACTTCGACGGGTACAACATTATCCGCGATGCCTTCAACTCGTTTGCCCAGTCCATGAAGCCACCGCTGGGCTCGGCGGAGGTGGCCAGGGGAGGACAGAATACCTTCACCGATGCCCCTCCCTTGTTTGCGCCTTCCTGGGCATTCGGTCAGCCCCCATCGCTACGGCTGGATCTGCCTCGGCTTTTGGCCAGAACGCACCTCTGGAGAGGCCTAGGGAGCAGCGGCATCGGTACCTTTTGCCCCAGAGGTGGGCCTGATGACTGGCCGCCCTGGGGAGTTCTACGAGATGATGATCAAGGAAGACCCGAAGCTCGATGTGCAGACGCTCGGGCGGCTTTGGAAGCTGCAGGGGGAGGCCCTCACTGGACTTGGCTCCACGTCGGGCGCCATCACTTGCCTCAGCGCCGCTGAGCGAGCCTTCCCGTCCCAGTGCGAGGATGAAAGAAGGGACGCTGAAGCCAAGCGCCGCAAGGTGGAGAAGAAGCTTGAGGCGGCACCAGGGCTGAGGACTCCTGTGACCGTGCTCACGGGTTTCCTCGGCTGCGGCAAGACAACGCTCCTGAACCGCATCCTCCGCGCGCACCACGACAAGCGCGTGGCTGTGATCGAGAACGAGTTCGGGGAGGTAGGCGTGGACAACTCCCTCGTGGAGGTTCGCAAGGAGCAGGAGAGTATTGTCGAAATGAACAACGGCTGCATATGTTGCACCGTTCGCGGAGACTTGATAGCTGCTCTGAAGAGGCTCCTGAAGCAAGCCCGGGAGAAGGCCAAGCCCTTCGACTTCATTATCGAAGACGCCTACGGCGAATCACCGCCGCCCCTTGCCTTTCGGAATCGCCCACGTGGCCGAGCGTTGTGGCCAGACACCTGCCAAGCTATAGGAACATGTATCAAGCCGTTGCGGAAACCCTTTCGTGTAGCATTTGGGTGGGGATGGCGGGGAAGATTTGGAGGAGGAGGAGGAGGAGTAGGAGGAGGGGCACCGTCGTCTTGAAGGCCTCTCTGAACCGACCTGGGACCCTCTTGGGGTGCTTTAGGGCCGTCTTGGAGGCCATGTTGGGCGTCTTTGAGGCCTCTTGGGCCGTCTTGGGGCCGTCTTGTGTGTCTCTTGGGCCGTTCTGGGGCCATCTTGGAAGCCTCTTCGGCGATCTTTGGGGGCTCTTGGGCCGTCTTGGGCCGTCTGAAGGCAGACAAGGATCAATTGCGTCCTTCACAAGCCGAAGGCACAATGATTTTGGCCTCTTCGGGCCTTCCTGGAGGCCGTCTTGGGGGCCTCTCGGGCCGTTTTGGAGGCCTCTTGGGGGCCTCTTGGCCGTCTCTGGCCATCTTGCGCCCATCTTAGGCCGTCTTGGTGACTTCTTGGCTGTCTTGGAGGCATGGTGGGACCATCTTGGGCCATCTTGGATCATCTTGGACCATCTTGGGCGAGCTCGTAGGACATCTTGGGCCATCGTGGTCGTCATGAAGGCCATCCAGGAGCCAAACACCGACGACCCGGATGCTTTCCGAGCGGCCGGTGCAATGAGCCGAATCCCCAGGGGGAGCCTTTCAAAGAACCAAGAACCATCATAGTCTTAGCGCGCCAGGCACCCCTCTGATAAGTCAACAGGGGGCGGCGGATCGAAGACGCCTACGGCGAATCACCGCCGCCCCCTGCCTTTTTGGAAGCGCCTGTGTGGCTGAACGTTGAGGCCAGACCTGCCAAGCTATCGGACCATGTGTTCCCCGAAACGGTTTGGAAAGCCTTCGGGGAACACGTGGGCATCTTGAAGGTCATCTTGGCCGCCTGGAGGCCATTTTGACCTTTTCGGGCCTTCTTGGAGGACGTTTTGGAGGGCTCTTGGGCCGTCTGGGAGGCCATCTTGAGCGTTTTGGAGGCCTCTTCGGCCGTCTTGGGGGCCTCTTGGGGCCGTCTTGGGCCTCTTGGGAGATCTCGGGGGGCACTTGGGCCGTCTCGGGCAGTCGGAAGGCCGAAAAGAAGCAAATGCCACAATCCTTGGAAACCTCATGGGAAATCAATGATTGTTGCCTTTTCGGGTCTTCCTGGAGGCCCTCTTGGAGGCCTCTTGGGCCGTCTTGGGCCATCTAGGGCCATCTTCGGCTGTCTTGGGCCCCTGGCCCGTCCGACGCCGTCTGAGCCGACTTGGGGCCGTCTTGGAATGCTCCAGGGCCGTCTTGGAGGCCATCTTGGGCGTCTTAAAAACGTTCTGGGCCGTCTTGGGGGCCTCTTAGGGCCGTCTTGGGGCCCTTTTGGGTTGTTCTGGGGCCATTTGGGAGGCCTCTTGGGCGATCTTTGGGCGATCTTTGGGGGCTCTTGGGCCGTATCGGGCCGTTGGAAGATCGAAACGAAGCAAATGTCGGAATCCTTCGAAAACCTATGGAAAATAAGTGTTTGTGGCCTTTTGCTGACCTTCCTGGAGGCCCTCTTGGAGGCCTCTTGGGCCGTCTTGGGCCAGCTTCGAGCCAACTTCTGCCATATTGGTGGGCTCCTGGCCCATCTGACGCCGTCGGAAGCAGTTTGGGAGTCCTTTCTGGGCCGACTGCCCTCTTGGGGTGCTCAAAGGCCGTCTTAGAGGCCATCTTGGGCGTCTTGGAGGCCTCCTGGGTCGTCTTTGTGCCGGGCCTCTTCGGCAGTCCGCAGGCCATCTTGGAGGCCTCTTGGGCGCTGTGGGGGCGATCTTGGGGGCCTCTTGGGCCGTCTTGGGTCGTCGGAAAGCCGAGAAGAAGCGAAAGTCCAAATCCTTCAAAACCCTTAGGAAAATTAATGATTTTGGATTCTTCGGGCCCTCCTGGAAGACATTTTGGGGGGCCCCTTGGGCCGTCTTGGAGGCCTCTGGGGGGCCTCTTGGGCCGTCTTGGGCCGTCTTGGACTCTTTTGGGTCGTCTTGGAGACCGTCTTGGACCATCTTGGGCGGTCTTGCAGGCCATCTTGGGCCATCTTCGCGATTTGTTGAGGATGTCCCTCGCGAAACAGCAGTTTTTTGGGCTTTGCAGCCTCCTCTGGGCAAGCGTCCCGAGACCCCGGCGGGACGGGCCGAAGCCCCAGGGGGAGTTCATTATGACAAAAAACCAAAACCAAAACCAAAACCGATAGGGTTCAGCACGCCAGGCACCCCTGCGATGAATCGACAGGGGGCGGCGGATCTAAGACGCCGACGGCGAATCACCGCCGCCCCCTGCTTTCTTGGAAGCGCCTAGGTGGCCGAACGTTGAGGCCAGACCTGCCAAGCTATCGGACCATGTGTTCCCCGAAACGGTTTGGAGAGCCTTTGGGGGGACACGTGGGCATCTTGAAAGTCATCTTGGCCGCCTGGAGGCCATTTTGACCCTTCTGGGCCTTCTCGGAGGACGTCTCGGAGGGCTCTGGGGCCATCTTGGAGGTCATCTTGAGCGTCTTGGTCTTGGGCCGTCTTGGGGGCTCTGGGGGCCGTCGTGGGCCTCTTGGGCGGTCTCGGGCCGTCGGAAGGCAGAAAAAAAACAAATGCCGCAATCCTTCAACAACTCATGGGAAATCAATGATTTTGACCTTTTCGGCCCTTCCTGGAGGCCCTCTTGGAAGCCTCTTGGGCCGTCTTGGGCCATCTTAGGGCCATCTTCGGTCGTTTTGGTGGGCTCCTGGCCCGTCCGACGCCGTCGGAAGCCGTTTGGGGGGCCCCTCTGGGCCGACTTGGGGTCCTCTTGGAATGCTCCAGGGCCGTCTTAGAGGCTATCTTGGGTGTCCTAAAAGCCTCCTGGGCCGTCTGTGGTCCTCTTGGGCCGTCATGGCGCCATCTTGGAGGCCTCTTGGGCGATCTTTGGGCGATCTTCGGGGGCTCTTGGGCCGTATTGGCCGAACAGAAACAAGTGCCAAACACCTTCGAAAACCTAGGAAACAATTGGTTTTGGCCTTCCTGGAGGCCCTCTTCGAGGCCTCTTGGGCCGTCTTGGGCCAGCTTCGAGCCAACTTCGGCCATCTTGGTGAGCTCCTGGCCCGTCTGACGCCGTCGAAGCCGTTTGGGGGTCTCTTTGGGCCGACTTTGGGCCCTCTTGGGGTGCTCCAGGGCCGCCTTGGAGGCCATCTTGGGCGGCTTGGAGGCCTCTTGGGTCGTCTTTGCGCCCTCTTGAGGCCGTCTTGGGGGCTTCTTGGGCAGTCCTGAGGCCATCTTGGAGGCCTCTTGGGCGCTGTGTGGGCGATCTTCGGGGCCTCGTGGGCCGTCTTGGGTCGTCGCGAAGCCAAAAAGGAGCAAATACGAAAATCCTTCAACAACCGAAGGACAATCAATGATTTTGGCCTCTTCGGGCCGGGCACCTCTTGGGCCGCCTTGGGCCGTCTTGGAGGTTTCTTGGGCGGATTTGGAGGCATCTCCTCATCTCTTGGGCGGACTTGGAGGCCATCTTGGACCATCTTGGAGGCCATCTTGGGCCATCTTGGCCGTCTGTGAAGCCATCTTGGCCGTCTTGGAGGCCTCTTGGGGCCCTCTTGGGGCCGTCTTGGGGGCCTCTTGGGCCGGCATGGGGCCATCTTGGAGACCTCGTGGGCGATCTTGGGGAGATCTTGGGGGCCTTTTGGGCCGTCTTGAGCCGTCGGAATGCCGAGAAGAAGCAACACCCCACATCCTTCAAAAACCTAAGGGAAATCAATGATTTTGGCTTCTTCGGGCCTTCCTGGAGGACTTCTTGGAGGCCTTTTGGGCCGTATTGAAGGCCTCTTGGGCCGTCTTGGGCCATGTTGAGGCCATCATGAGGCTATCTGAGGCCGTCTTGGGTACATCTTGGGCCGTCTTGGAGGCATCTTGGGGCCATCTTAGCCGTCTTGGAGGCCATCTTGGGCGTCTTTGAGACCATCCTGGGCCATCTTGGCTGGAGGAAACAGAGGCACGACGGATGCGTTTTGAGATCCTTTCCGGGTGGCCGGCGGGACGGGCCGAAGCCCCAGGGGGAGTTCTTTTTGGAAAAAAAACCAACACCAAAAGCCATATCATCCGGCTCGCCAGGCACCCCTGCGATGAATCGACAGGGGGCGGCGGATCGAAGACGTCGACGGCGAATCACCGCCGCCCCCTGCCTTTTTGGAAGCGCCTATGTGGCCGAACGTTGAGGCCAGACCTGCCAAGCTATCGGACCATGTGTTCCCCGAAACGGTTTGGAAAGCCTTCGGGAAACACGTGGGCATCTTGAAGGTCATCTGGGCCGTCTGGAGGCCATTTTGACCTTTTCGGGCCTTCTTGGAGGACGTCTTGGAGGGCTCTTGGGCCGTCTGGGAGGCCATCTTGAGCCTTTTTGAGGCCTCTTGGGCCGTCTTGGGGGCCTCTTGGGGCCGTCTTGGGCGATCTTTGGGGGCACTCGGGCCGTCTCGGGCAGTCGGAAGGCCGAACAAACAGCAAATGCCACACTCCTTCAAAAACTCTTGGGGAATCAATGATTTTGACCTTTTCGGCCCTTCCTGGAGGCCCTCTTGGAGGCCTCTTGGGCCGTCTTGGGCGATCTTAAGGCCATCTTCGGCCGTCTTGGTGGGCTCCTGGCCCGTTTGACGCCGTCGGAAGCCGCTCGGGGGGTCTCCCTGGGCCGACTTGGGGCCCTCTTGGAATGCTCCAGGGCCGTCTTGGAGGCCATCTTGGGCGTCTTAAAGGCCTCCTGGGCCGTCTTGGGCCTCTTGGGGCCGTCTTGGGGGCATCTTGGGCCGTCATGGGGTCATCTTGGAGGCCTCTTGGGCGATCTGTCTCGGGCCGTCGGAAGGCCGAAAAGAAGCACATGTCAACATCCTTCAACAACCTACGGAAAATAAGTGTTTGTGGTATTTTGGGGGGGCCTTCCTGTAGGCCTCTTGGAGGCCTCTTGGGCCGTCTTGGGCCAGCTTCGAGCCAACTTCGGCCATTTTGGTGGGTTCCTGGCACGTCTGACGCCGTCGGGAGCCGTCTTGGGGGCCTCTCTGGGCCGACTTGGGGCCCTCTTGGGGCGCATCGGGGCCGTCTTAGAGGCCATCTTGGGCGTCTTGGAGGCCTCCTGGGCTGTCTTGGGGCCCTCTTGGGGCCGTCTTGGGGGCCTCTTGGGCCGTCATGGGGCTATCTTGGAGGCCTCTTGGGCGATCTTGGGGCGACATTGGGGGTCTTTTGGGCCGTCTTGGGCCGTCGGAAAGCCGAAGAGGCGCAACTGCCAACATCCGTCAAAAACCGATGGAAAATGAAGGATTTCTTCCTGGAGGACCTCTTGGAGGCCTCTTGGGCCGTCTTGGAGGCGTCTTCGGGGCCTCTTGGGCCGTCTTGGGCCAGCTTGAGGCCATCTTAGGCCGTCTTGGGTGCATCTTGGGCCGTCTTGGAGGCATCTTGGGGCCATCTTAGCCGTCTTGGAGGCCATCTGGGCCGTCTTGGAAGCATCTTGGAGGCCATCTTGGGCCATCTTGGAGCTGTCTGGGGCAGGAAAACCTACTGCAACCACCTCCGGAAGAGGCTCCCGGGACCCGGCGGGACGCGCCGAAGGCCCAGGGGGAGTTCTTTTTTGGAAAAAGAACCAAGACCAAAACCGAGAGTGTGTAGCACGCCAGGCACCCCTGCGATGAATCGACAGGGGGCGGCGGATCTAATAGTCTTCGGCCCATCTCGCCACCGTGCCTGAGTTGTGGGTTGGAGTTCTTAGGGATGCTTCTGCGGGCTTCTTCAGAGCGCTCTCGGGGGCCTCTTGGAGGCAGCCTTGGATTCTCCTGGGAGCCTCTTGGGGGCCTCTTGGGGGCCTCCTTGGGGGTCTCTTGGGGGCCTCCCTGGGGCCTCGGCGCCCCTCGGGGCCGACGTCTCGACACGTCCGCTCGGGGTCTCCTTCTGGGACCCCTCTTGGAGCCGTCTTTGGGCCCTCTTGGGGCCCTCTTGGGGCCGTCTTGGGCGCCTCTTGGGCCGTCTTGGGTCGGGGGTGGACAGACCTCCCAACAGTGACACGTCGATGAGTGAATTGTCCGTTTTCGGTTCTCGAGAGGGCGCCGTGGCCGTTATTTTCCAGGCTTGCGCCCGCCAGGTTTGGGCCTCAGGTCGTTTTCACTAAACCACGTTTTACTAAAGGGGGGTCTGTCCATCCCCGATTGGGGCCCTCTTGGGCCGTCTTCTGGCCTTCTCAGGGGCCTCTGGGGCCGCCTTGGGGCGATCTTTGGGGCCTCTTGGGATAGGGAACTCTGGCGCGCTATGCTCCCCGTGAGAGGCCTCTGAAAGACGGTTCTGGGCAAGCTTGTCCGCGCCTTATGGTTGGGCCCCGGGCGCCGCCTGAGCCCGCGTGGGCTGTCCAGGTGTTCGTCTTGGAGCGTGGGGGCGCCGAAAAGGCGAGAGGGCCAAGTCCTGGGGCCATCATGGCTCGTCCTGGGGCCCGTCCTGGGGCCCTCATGAAGCTCTCTGGGCCCGGCCCGAGGCCCTCCCTCGTGGCTACGAAACAGCCACGCGCCAAGACTCGACAAGGCCCAGGGAGCACGAGAGGCCCAAGAAGATCTGGCAATTTTGAATCCGAGCCCCTCAACTTGGCGGCGAGCGAGGGGGGGAAGCGAGAAGGAGAAGGCCTTCTCAGAAGGCGGCGGAACCTCTCAGAAGGCTCCGTGCCTTCTGAGAAGTGTTTGTATGTCTTCGGGGAAGGCTCGGAGAACCTCTCGGAGGGCCAGGGGACTTCCGAGCCTTCTGAGAAGGCCCGCCCCTTCTCAATTCCCCCCCCCTCGCTCGCCGCCGATTAACGATTCTTTCGGAGGTGGATAGACCTCCTACCCTGACACGTCGATTAAGGAATTGGCCGTTTCCGGTTCGCGAGAGGGCGTCGCGGCCGTTATTTTTGAGGGTCCAGGTCCGTCGGTTTCGGTCCCAGGCCGTTTTCACTAAGGGGAGGTTTACTAAAGGGAGGTTCGTCCATTCTTCGGGATTGAAGACTGGACCTGATGGCACGCCCACTCCGTGCCCGGAGGCACGGTGGCGGATCATAGAGACCACGGGCCTGGCGGACCCCGCGCCCGTGGCTCAGACCTTCTTCGCGGACTCCTTTGTGCAGAAGTTCTGCCGGCTGGACGGCATTCTCACCCTCGTCGACGCGAAGCACATAATCCAGCATCTCGACGAGGAGAAGCCAGAGGGAGTCGAAAATGAGGCCGTGGAACAAATCGTGTTCGCGGATCGACTGCTCCTCAACAAGTGCGACTTGGTTGACGAAGCGACCCTGCAGGAGGTGGAGAGGAGAATACGATCCATCAACAGAGGCGTTCAGATACGTCGCACAATTCAGGGTGAGGTCGACTTCGATTTCATTCTTGGCGTGCACGCCTTCGACCTTGACAAGACCTTGGAGATCGACGCCAGCTTCTTGGAGGACGGCGGCGAGCATCAGCACGACAGCCGAGTGTCGAGCGTGGGCATCGATCTGAAAGGGCAGGTGGACATCTGCAAGCTGGATGAGTGGATCGGCGACCTCTTGAAGGACAGGGGCAAAGACATATTCCGCGCCAAGGGGGTGCTCGCTGTGCGGGACCGGCAGGAGAAGTTTGTGTTCCAAGCGGTGCACATGCAGTTCGCATCCGCCCCCGCGGGCAGGTGGCCGAAGACAGAAATCGCCATGAGGGCATATTTTCGGCGGCCTGCACAGATTTCTTGGGTCGGAGCCGAGGCATCCCTGACCAGCAGCCTTTTCCCGGCGCGTGGGAGCGCCAGTGGCGGCGCCGAAGGCGCGGCCAGAGGTGCAGGGAGAGGGGCCATCGCCGACCAGAGAAATCGGCCCAGACCTCTGACAATTTGGGCTGTCTCCCGTACAGCGACTGCTGCACTTTCTCCTATTCTTCTATTTTTTTTACCCGGACCCTCCCCCACCCCAAACTGGATCCCCCCCCCCCAAGGGACGCCCTGGACACTCTTTCGGACGTTCTAGCGGCCCTCTGGACGCCCTTGGAAAAGATCCGCTTGCCCTTCCGGGCCTCCCAGGGCGCCTTGCTGGGCCTTGCGAGCAGACTCAAGGCGATCAGAGGGGTCATCGGAGAGGCGCTAGAGAGACCCAAGACAGCATCAGAGCGCTCCAAGAGGAACCTCGATGGTCTGAAGACGGCCCAAGAGGCCCCCAAGACGCCCCAAGAGGCTGTTAAGAGAGCCCCGAATAAGCTAACATCGTCCCATTCCTTCGGGAACATGTATAAGTTTAAGATATCCGCTGTTTGGGATTTCGCAGCGTCCAAAGCGGCCCGATAGGCTCCCGATATCGCCCCAAGACGGCCCAAGATGCCCCCCAGAGGCTTTGAACACAGCCCAACAGGGCCCCAAGGCTGCCCCAGAGAGCCCCGAGACTGCCCGCAAGAAGCCCACGATGCCCCCAGAAGGCCCCCAAGAGAGACTCACGAAAGCCATGGGAGCCCCCCAAGAAGGCCATAGGAGGCCCCCAAGAGGGCCTTAGATGGCTTCAGAAGACCTCTGGAGGGCCCCAGCTCCCCAAGACGGCCCAAGAAGGCCCCGGGACGGCCCAAGAGGGCCCTAGGACGGCCCCAAAGAGTTCCCAAAACGCTCAGACGGCGTTTTCCTATGAATTACATCGAGCTGACCCGACGATTTTGGTTCCCCGCTTGAGGCTCGAGGTTTCAGTTCTTCGATCGAGAGAGACAGGCAATGGATTTAGATTCGAAGTTCGACGATCGCCTGACCGAATGGAGCCCTCCAGGCATTCAGGAAGCTACAACACATCGATCTGTTCGGTGCTACTGCGACTTCTTCGGCGTGTCGTCGGAACGCTCCTTACTTCTTGAAAGGACCTTCGCGCGTGGAACAACAAAAAACATCATTCCCCCAGCTCGTGCGCACAAGCGTGCAAGCGTATCGGGCGAACGCGGTGTCAGCAGGCACCAATGAGCCTGTCGCCTGTCCAGGTTTCGAGGTCCCCCCCGCTGAAGCAACGATGATTTATTGCTTTGCCGGGGGGGGGGTCGGAACAAAGCGCATGGCGCGAAACGCCAATGCAGTCTTGTATATTTTTATATATATATACATATATATATATATAAATGCCTCTTCCTATATTGTTATAAGCCCGGGCGGGGGCAAAACCCGTCACCACCCCAAACAAAAACAAGGACTCCCGGGATCTGGGGCTTTGGACCCTCCTGACGGGCCTCGAAGCGGCCCCCCTGGCCTCGCAGGGCGTTTTGCCAAGCCTCCCCAGTACACCTAGGGCGATCACGGGGGTCATCGGAAACGTCTCAGAGACCCCCATGACAGCGCAAGAGCTTTCCAAGAGTGACCGGTGACCCCAAGATGGCCCAAGAGGCTTCCAGGACGGCCCCAAAGAGGCCTCCAAGAGCACTCCCAAGAGGCAAATATCATGGATTTTCTGTTAGTTTTTGGTGAATTTTGGGGTTCTCCTCTTTTCGGCTTCCCGACGCTCCAAAACGGCGGTCTTCTGGGCATCCGAAGCCGCCTGGGAGGCTCCAGAATCGCCCTACAACCATCCGAAAGGGCTTCCAGGCAGTCCAAGAGAGCCCCAAAGTGGCACAACACGGGTCCAAGATGGCCCTCAGAGAGCCCCATGGCGGCCCAAGATGGTCCCCAAACACCCTCCGAAGCATTCCAAATCGTGACCCGGTCGTTCAGGGAGACCGTGGTTGGAGGCAGGGTGGCCCGAGGAAGTCCCCAGAGGCCCCCAGAGTACGCCCAGGAGGCCTCCAGAAGGCCTTAAGAAAGCCTGAAACTATTTTTTTTAGGCCCCCAGAGGCTCTCCCAGGAGGAGCCTCCGCAAAAAAAGCTGAGGAGGATAGGGATAATGCGCAGGGTATGGCGAGCGTGAGGAAAAAGAAGCATGGAGGAACCATAACGAAGAACATTATCATAGCGGCGATGCCGGAAAAGGCAACAAGGAGTTATCGCTGAATTGTCGGTTTGACCTTCCTGCTATTCCGCCTGCATACCAAACTTCAAGGACCAAGGTGCATGGCGCGAAGCGCCACTGCAGTCTTGTATACATATATATACATATGTGTATGAAAGAGCGTGTTCTACCGTTGCTGGCGGAAAACCCGGAGGGTCACTACCGGTTCGAGCCCCTCCCCCCCCTCCGGAAAACCGGGGGGGGATCACTACGGGGTCGAACCCCTTCCCCCCCCCTCAGTTCATCATGAAAAGGAGGGGCGTCACTACCGGTTCGAACACCCCCCCCCCTCGAAAACCGGGGGGGGTCACTTTCGGTGCGGACAGTGGTGGGGACGGTGGTTGTGTGGACAGTGGTGAGGGGACAGCGGGACAGTGGTGCGGACAGTGGGACAGTGGTGGGGACGGTAGTGGTGGGGACAGTGGTGAGGACAATGGTGGGAACAGTGGGGACAGTGGACAGTGGTGGGGACGGTGGTGGCGGGGACAGTGGTGTGGGGACAGTGGGAATGAGGTGGAAACAGGTGGGACAGTGGAGGGTACAGTGGTGGTGGGGACAGTGGTAAAGGCGGTGGCGAGGACGGCGGTGGGACAATGGGACCGAGGTACAGTGGGGACAGTGGTGGGGACAGTGGGGAAAGTGGTGGGAACAGTGGGACAGCTCAGTGGGACAGCGGAGGAGTCAGTGGGACAGTGGAGACAGTGGGGATAGTCGGGCAGTGGTTGGGGACGTGGAGAAAGTGGGGAGAGTGGAACCGTGGTGGGAACAGTGGTGGGGACAGTGGGGACAGTGCGACAGTGGTGGGGGCACTGGTGGGGACAGTAGGGACGGTGGTGGAACCAGTGGGGACAGTGGTGGTGAGGACAGTGGTGCTGGGAACAACAGTGGGGGATGTGATGCGGACGGTGGTAGGGACCGGGAGTCGTTTGCTGGCGGTGAGTGGGGGGGGGGGGGGTCGGGTGACCCTCCGGTTTTCGAGGGGGGGGGGGTTCGAACCGGTAGTGACCCCCCCCCGGTTTTCGAGGGGGAGGGGGGGGAGGGGAGGGGAGGGGGGGGTTTTGCCGGGGGGGGAGGGGGGGGGGGTCCAGGGGGGGAGGGGGGATTTTCGGGGGGGGGGGGGGGGGACCCGGGCTCCGGAGGAAGGGGGGGCAATTTTCCACAGTAAAGCGGCGGTGGATCACGCTCTCTCATGTGTGTGTGTGTGTGTATATATATATATATATATATATATCGGAGGTTGGGGGGCGAGATCGCAGTGGAACGGAGAGCCCCCCTACCGGGAAATCGATTTCGGTTTCGTGTTCGTGCGTGCCGTGCGGGCGAGGCGAAGCTGCGTGGGCGGGCGAGAGAAAGTCTCCTGTGGCTGAGGCGCGGCCGGACCAAATGATTCCCTTCCGGGCGGCCTGGGGCCCCGCGGTGTCCCGCCGGTGTCCCGCTGGTGTCCCGTGTGGCTGAGGCGCGGCCGGACCAAATGATTCCCTTCCGGGCGGCCGGGGCCCCGCGGTGTCCCGCCGGTGTCCCGCCGGTGTCCCGCGGTGTCCCGCGGTGTCCCGCGGTGTCCCGCGGTGTCCCGCCGGTGTCCCGCGGTGTCCTGCGAGGATAATGATGATGATGAGATGATGATGATGATGATGCTGATGATGATGATGATGATGATGATGATGATGATGATGATGATGATGATGATGATGATGATGATTCTGATTCTGATGATGATGATTCTGATGATTTTGATGATGATGACGATGATGATGATGATGATAGGATGATGATGGTGTCCCGATGAAGATGATGATGCTGTTGATGATGGTGTCGATGATGATGATAGTGTCCCGATGATGAGGACGATGATGCTCATGATGATGATGTTGATGATGATGACGATGATGGTGTCCCGATGATGATGATGCTGATGATGATTACGATGATGTTGGTGATGATGATGTTGATGGAAATGGTGTCCCGGCGATAATGATGTTGATGATTATGGTGTCCCGATGATGATGCTGATGCTGATGATGATGATGGTGATGATGATGGTGGTGCTGATGGTGCCCCGATGATGATAATAATGACAATGACGATGTTGATGATGATGCTGCTCATGATGATGATGGTACCCCAATGATGATGTTGTTGATGATGATGTCGATGATGATGATGCGATGATCGTGATGATGATGGTGTCCCGAGGATGATGACGATGTTGATGATAATGTTGATGATGGGAGCGATGGTGATCATGATGGTCTCCGATTATGATGATGTTTATGATGCTGCTGATGATGATGACGATGACTGTGTCCCGATGATGATGATGCTGATGATGATGATGATGTTGATGATGAGATGATGATGGTGATGATGATGATGTTGTCCCGATGATGATGCTGACGTTGATGATGATGTTTATGATGATGATGATGATGATGATGACGGTGCCCTCATGATGATGAAGATGTTGGCGATGATGTTGATGTTGATGATGTTGATGATGGTGATGATGATGATGATGATGATGACGTTGATTGTGAGAGCGATTGTGATATCGATAGTGAGATCGGCACTGAGACCGAATGCGAGATCGATTGTGTGATCGATTGTGAGATCGATTGTGAGATCAATTGTGAGATCGATCGAATGAGATAGATCGAGTGAGATCGATTGTGAGATCGATCGAGTGAGATCGATCGAGCGAGACCGATAGTGAGATCGATACTGAGATCGATAGTGAGACCGATCGAGTGAGACGTTGGTTCCCCCCCCCCGAACCTCCTTATCACCCGAAGGGTGGTCGTATAGGTGTGTATATATATATATAGATAGACGGCTCATCCTCTGAAGGATCCTAATATTGGGTTGCTTGCGAGGTGTCTGGCGTAACCTATGGTACAACCACCTATGGCACGTTCACTGCGGCAACGTACCATTTGGTTGCCCGCGGGCTGTCTGGCGTACCCTTTTTCTCACCGTGCGGCAGACCCACCGAGGCAACGGACGAGTTGGTTGCCCGCGGGATGTCTGGCGCAGCCTGTTGGCGCAACTTCTGTCAGACCCTCTGAGCAAACGGATGGCTTGGCTGCCCCGTGGCTGTCTGGCGCAGCCGGTGGCGTAACATTGTGCAACTGTTGTCTGAGGTCGCCTGGCGGAGTTGAATGCAGTTTGTTGTTTCTTATGCTCAGGTGGGAGGATGACGAGGAGCGGACCTGCAAGATGGTTTTCATCGGGAAGAGCCTCGACCGTGAGGCCCTGACGGCGGGCTTCCTGAAGTGCTACGAGCCCTGCGAGGAGTCGGGAGAGGGATCGCATGCAGTCAGAAACGGCACATTTGCGCCTTGAAAGCAAGGCACCCTTGTACTCCCCGGTTCTAGGCACTCTTTGGTATGTTGTGGCCATTTTGGTCAGGTGGTGCGCTGGCGTCCTGGAGCATGGATGTTTCCTGCGTCGTTACGATCCATCCTGAAGGCTCGAATTTCAGTGTATACCGTGTACCACCTCGAAGACTCCGTAGGCCTAGTTCCAGCCCTGACATAGATGGCTGTCAGCTCCCGCCAGGCCATGAGGCCAGACATCTGCCAAGATCCAAGCCTCAAGTGAGCCTGCAGAGGCTTATCAGCCTGTAGGTCAGCAGGAGGAGGAGGAGGAGAACAAGGATGATGATGAGGAGGAGGAGGAGGAGGAAAGACCGAATGAACAAAACAGATACACGCCTCTTAGAGGTCTGCGAAAATCTCTTGGGTCGGCGCTGAGGCTCCCTCGAGGAGGGGAGGAGGGGCAGGAGTAGGAGGATCTGCCCTCTTCCCGAGGAGGCCTGCAAGGAGACCATCTTCGTCGACCGGAGGGACGGCGCCAGCGGCCTCGGCTAGGTGTGTGCACGAGGCTGCGGCTCCCCGCCGTCGTCGCCAATTCCCCCCCCCCCACAGAGGGCAATGGCGAGTGGACTGGCGACGGGTCTGGTTTCCGTTCAGAATCGGGGCGCTCCGTCGCGAGGCGGCGCTGGGTTCATGCCTCGAGCGGAACTTTCCCCGCTGCGTGGAGCCGGCGCCCACGCGCCAGATCCGCGGGCCCCTGCTCCGTTCCCGTGTGCCCGACGTGCCCGCTCCCGTCGTGAGGACAGCAGGTACCGAAGGAAGACTCTGAGGAATGTTCTGCTTCTGTGGGCTGGGCCGCAGGGCCGTCAAAAACGGCTCGGGATTAAAAGCCGTCACCGTCCTTCCCTTTCTTAGCCTCTGCCCCCATCCCTAGAAAACCCAAGGACACCCTGCGTCCTCCAGTAGCCCCCAGGCACCCCTCCTGCTCCTCGTCCTGTTCCTCCCGTCCCCTCCTTCCCTCCTCTTCCTTCCCTCTTCCCGCACTCATCCTCCTCACTCCGCGCGAGCGTTGCAAGTGCCGTTCTGTGCGCCCGAGACAGCTGTATCTGCGGCTCCCCCTCAGGCGGAGGCGGTCAACCCTAAGTTTGTGAGATGGGCCTGGGCTCCGTATCCACGTCCATTATCCTGCTGCCGGTCCTCCTCCTCCTGCCTTCTGCAGGACGCCTCGGACCCCCGCCGACCGCGCCTCTGCGCGACCTCCGAGGCGAACCTGGGGAGTAAAATCGCCTGCCCTCTTCGGCTTCTTATCTCCCTTCCCGATTGTCCCCTTCTGCCTCCTCCTTCTTCTCCTGGTTCTGTCCTTCCCCCATAGTTCTTTTCATCCCGCCTAATACCTCCTCCCCCATATCTCTCTTTTTCTGCCTCTGTTTCTTCCTTTATTTTTTTTGTTGTTCTCTCTCTCTCTCTCTCTTCCTGCCTCTCTCTCTCTCGTGCTCTGTCTCTCTCTCTCTCTCTCTCTCTCCCTCCCTTTTTTTTTTCTCTCTCTCTCTCTCTCTCTTTCTCTCTCTCTCTCTCTCTTTCTCTCTCTCTCTCTCTCTCTTTTTTTTATATATATATATATACATGTCACTCTCTCTGTCTCTCCGCCCTCCCCCTACCCCGTCCGAAGCCAGCTGCCGCGGACTCGCGCGGCGGCGGCGGCGGCCCGCGGCCGACCCAATGGTCGCCTCCCGAACGGGGGAGTCTGGTGTGCAGCCTGGCCCGGCTGGAGGAGGTGCTGCGTTCCTCGGGGGCTTCGAGACGGGGGTCAGGTGCGGACGGGGGTCCGCCAGGGCGCCGGATCCTGCAGGATCCTGCGAAGACCCCCTCTGGCTGATCCGGGCTAGCGAGCCGCTTTTGGCCGCGAGGCGGCCGCGCCTGTTGGCTGACCCGGGTTTGCGAAGACCTGCGCTGCAGCTTTTTTTCCCTGCATTGCAGTTTTTGGTTTTCTGCTGACCTGGGTCTGGATTGACCCGGGTCAGAAGATCCCCGAGTTCTCTGTCGGGGGCGGCAAAGAAGGGGGTGATGACTAGGGGGGGTGGGATCTCATGGCGGGGGACATGACATTTCCCCAGATTTCCCGGCGCCTTCTCTTATCTCATCACGTCCCCGGCCCCCCCGCTGGGCCGCGCACCTGCCGCCAGTCCTGATTCGCACCCCCCCCCCCTCTCTTGGACGCCCCCCCCCCCCTCTTGGCCGCTCCCGAGAGGGAGAACACCAGGCCACGAGCGACGAGCGAGAGTCCCAAAGCCATGGGCTCGGGCCCGGCCAGCAGCGCCGCCTGGCGTACCAAACCGTGCCCCTGGGGAGAGGGGGTCCAACAGGAGGGGGCCGCTCTCCGGGCGAGGAGGGGGGTGAGTGATTCGGAGGAGAACCGAGAGGGAGAACCAGGTCACGAGCGACGAGCGAGAGTCCAGAAGCCAGGGGCTCGGGCCCGGCCAACAGCGCCGCCTGGCGTACCAAGCCGTGCCCCCTGGGGAAAGGGGGTCCAACAGGGAGGGGGCCGCTCTCCGGGCGAGGAGGGGGGCGAGTGATTCGGAGGAGAACCGAGAGGGAGAACCGGGCCACGAGCGACGAGCGAGAGTCCAGAAGCCATGGGCTCGGGCCCGTCCAGCAGGCGCCGCCTGGCGCACCAGACCGTGCCCCCGGGGAAAGGGGTCCCACAGGAGGGGGCCGCTTGCCGGGCGAGGAGAAGCCGGGCGAGAGCGATTCCGGCGGAGAAGCCGGAGCAGCAGGAGGATCGGAAGGGCGAGGAGCAGGAGGAGGGCAGTCCAATTCTCCCTCCCTCCACTCTCTGCTTCCTCTCCTTCCTTCTCCCCCTCCTCCTCCTCCTCCTCCTCCTCCTCCTCCTCCTCCTCCTCCTCCTCCTCCTCCTTCATCCACCCCCATTCCCCCCTCCCGCACGCGCGCGGAACCGTGCGTAAGGGCAACGAGGAGGAAGGGAGGATGGAGGGAGGGAGGAAGGAAGAGATGGAGCGACGAGGAGGTGGATGTGGAGGAGGAGGACTGTTCCGATTTGAGTTCTGATTGTGTGCGGACTGCCGTTTGGGGCCTTAGCGGAGGCCCATCTTCGCCGAGGCAGGATTCGCTTCGATATCTTGGTCTGAGTGCGTTCCAAGACAGGTCCGTGGGTCCATGCTGAAGGTGGGATGGAGAGGGAGAGGAACCAGAAGGTTTTTATTTGGGATGGTTGAGGGTGTAGGCAGGAGGTGAAGGAGGATGAGGAGAAAGATGAGGAGCAGGAGGGGGATTGAGGAGGAGGGGGAGAAGGAGAAGATGGGGGAGACAGTCCCAGTGTGAATGAGTGAGGACAGGGGGAGGAAGCTTCAGGGGGCAGGCAAGATGAGACATCATGGAAGAGTACAGTGAGCGGCTTGAAAGAGGAACACTTACTTTTCAAAAGGGGCTCGGTCGTTCCTTAGGTTTGCATGCGTTATTTACAGTTCCTTATGCGTTATTTGTTACTTATCTTTCCCTATGCGTTATTCCTTGGGATAAAAAGGGGTTTCGTTCCTTATTTATCGTTCCTTAGGTCAGGCCGATGACTGTAGGAGGAGGAGGAGGACTGAGCGGGGAGAGAGCAGGAGCAGGAGGACGAGTGGGATTTTTTTGGGAGCGCCTCGACGGAGTCCCGAATGCCTGACGGGCGACGCGGCAGAGCGTCCCAGCTAACTCCGGCGGGTGCCGCTTCCGCCAACGATCGCGGGGAGCCGAGACCCTGGGCAGAGGGCCTCCTCCTGCTTCCGGAGTGGGCGCTGCAGCAGCTCTACCGTCGGGGATGCACCCTTATCGGTGAAACGTAAGACCCGAGTAAGCCGGAACTCGGGTTAGCCGAAGTTTTTTGACGAGCGCGTCCAGGATTTTGACGGTCCGGTTTTCGTGGGATGTCTGCAGCGGGAGCCCGCGTCAAGTTTCAGATTTGATTTCGTCATTTTCATAAGGCCCCCGTTAGGCCAACCCGAGTCCCCCGTACCCGAGTCTTACGTCTCCCTGATCTTATACGCCCAAAGCGCAGAACGCTTTCATTTCGCTGCTGGGGTCCGACGGTATGTCCGCGCAGGCAGATCTCACCTTCAGATGATTCCGGTGATGCAGCGCTGTGGTTGATGCTGAGGCTCTCCCCTGACGGCCTGAGGGCTGAGCTGAGCCCCTGTTCCTTGTGGGTATCTCTCGTCGTCATCGTCGTCCTCCTCCGAGACAGAAGGGAGGGTAGAGGATGTTGTTTGGACAATTTGGTATTTATTGGCCTCTTGGGGGCTGTGGAGGCGACCTCCAGAGACCTCCAGGGAGCCCCTCTCCTCAGGAGCAGCCTGCCGCCCAGCCTGACGCAATTCGCCCGTTGAGGGTCTGGTCTCTTTTTGGACGTGCCCTCATAGCTGCGCTGCACCGTAGTCCCCCTCTTTAAAACCGCCTTCCCGTTTCTGAGTTTAGATCGTTCTGGCTTGCTTTGAGTGCGCCTGGTTGCTTGCTGGCTTGCTGGCTTGTGCTTGTGTGCTGTCCTAGGGGCACCTCAGCACCTCTCAAGGTGCAGCTTTGAGTACCACGTCCTGGTTACGTCATCTAGGAAGTAATGCAGTATCACGAGCACCTGTTATGCTACTTCTAACCTTTGTGAGCCACCTGAAAGTATGCATAATCGACTCGACTGCCTGTCGCATGACCTGGACGCTTTCGAATGCACCTGGCAAAGTTCCAAATTATTTGAGTATCTTCCTCCCCCTCTCCCGCTCCCTCCACCGTCCTTATTCCTCTCTCCGTCCCTCCCCCTCCCTCCCTCCCTCCCTCCCTCCCTCCCTCCCTCCCTCCCTCCCCTCTTCCCCCCCACCCCCCCACCCTGCCTTGGTTTCCTCTGGTTACCTCTCTTCTTTTTTTTCACAGTTCAGTCTCAACGCCGTTCGCCGCAGGATGATCTCAGGGATTCCGCAGAATAGCAGAGATGAAGCTTTTGCTGCACCGAATAGGGTTGCCAAGCAATGCTAGAAACGTGTGTACCCAGGAGTGTCGCCAAGATGTCAACGTTTTTTTTCTTCCTTGCTCCTTCTATTGGGAAGCTGGGTGCACTTCTCCTGGCCGTCCTGGGCGAGAGCTGGATACCCATGTGGCAGCCTGTCTTTCGAGCCACCGCTCGGACCCCGTGGCCAGGTACGTTGGTGCTCCGCATGAGCTCCCAGGAAGTATTGGCCAAATTCCACCAGCTCCCACGAAGTATGCGGGCAACACGTTTGTTTCGGCCAGATTCGGGCCCCAGGGGGCCGCGAAGCCTTCATGATGCCCATCTTCTTCTTCCCATCCGAGCACCACCGATGTCCAACATGTATTCCCGCGACCAGGTGACAGCCGCGCGTGTTTCCAGCTTTCAGGTAAGTAGCTCTCCAGAAGCGCCGCCAGGTCAAGATCAAGGAGGCCGAGGAGGAGGTGGAGAAGCTCGAGTGCTTGGCGAACCCTGCGGCGCCTGGGTCGGGTTCCAGAGGCCCCCCAGAAGAATCATTCGATTCGTAGCTGTGAGACGCTCGCCG